CATTTTATCTCCCCACGTCTCATTCTAGAGGAACCTGGCAGCATTTCCAAGCCACATGCAAGCACATGAAGAAATTCTAACATAGTGGTAACAAGAAAGGGAAAAATACATATGCATACAGAAAGTCAACTGAACTATGCAGAGATGCTTAGATTAATAAATACCTCAGCAGCTTGCCAAAGGATATCAACATTCTTATTTTTCCTTGCATGTACATTTTGTCCCAGAAATCTTAACAGTTCAGGCAGGCACGTCTGACTACGAGATCGAGGTAGACCTATAAAACAAACAAAACCAACTCCACTTATTTACCTGCATTCAACACTTTTACAAAGATAAGTTACATGGAAAGCGTTCCTATATGCCTGTTGCAAACACAATCATGTTTTCTTGAAACTATCAAAGCTTACAACAATTAATCCAATTCTTAATTACTTAGTACCACCAACACAACAAATTCAAGTTTAATTAAACTCAACTGGAAATACACATTCAGGTTATTTAAAACTTCGGGGGCTCAGAATCTGATAGCAATATAACAACAGAGTGAACAAAGGCAGCAAGATTGGTATAGTATCTTGGTTTGTGCGTCACAGACATACTTGCCTTCACACGTTGTTCAGAACTGTATATAAACATGTAACTGCCTGTATTATTGCTCCTCAGAGGTGACAGGGTGTCATGCATGTCTCCACAGAAACCCTGATGATATCATTTTATATTCTGCTCACATTTTCAATTTTAAATTTGCAAGCTGGCCAGTTTTCAGTTACAAGAAACACTCTTTGTGACAGGACATCACACTTTCACTAAGTGGAAATAAATCAGTTGAAAATTTTCAATATTTCTGAGTGCTTTCAATAGCCATCTTACATGTTCAAAGTGTAACACATCTCTTACACATGTCAACAACAAGTACTAAATAGGTCGTGGTTGTTTTTTTTTTTAAGGGCTAACTACAGAGGACACCAGCTAAGGCTGTGACTGGATAAATAAGGCAGTCTGCATTGTTAAAAAATGAGTATGTGACAAAAAGAACCTCATATGGGTGATATATGAGGTTTTATTTTTGGACCACATCTCTTCTCATAGCAAATAGTATGCTAGCAATATTGTGTCTATCCTGTCTGCTCTGCTTGAACTCTACACCTAGAAAGAAAGTAATACCTGTAAACAAAAAGAAGGCACAGACCATCTCCCCAGTATTTGTAAGGACAAGGAGCTAATGAAGCTAAGACAGTAATTCACTTCTTAGAAATTCTGCAGTGCTTAGAATTAAAAGCACAGGGACAAGGACAGTGGATCAGGAATCAACTTCCCTTGTGTATTGTTCTTGAAGGGAACATTTCCTACAAGATGCCAGCAGATACTTCACTGCGCCTCTTGTCCCCTAGAATGATCTGTTTGGTTTTCTTTTTGCCTGTACTTACCACAGACTACACCACTGGCTGGTCATAATAACCACCTGTTTTACAGTTAAATGTACAATTAAATGTTATTCTCTCTTAACAAGGGTTCATAGAAAAGTATGTTTCACTTTGTACGTCCTAAATATCACCACAGAGGAGGTACAAAACACACCCTCAGACCTTGCTTATGACAAGCACAGTCCCAGGTTTGTCTATATAGTCTCAGCTTTTCACAGAGCGTCTCTAACAGAGTTGCTAGAACACCTGCAATATTTTTTTCACACTTCTAATCAAAACTTTTGCTTAATGTTTATAACCATAAACCATTTATCCAAGCTGGATTGCAAAACCAGGTACAATAAGTCTGCATTTACCCAGGACAAACAGTGAAGCAGAAGAAAGTTTTGGCAGAGGGCAGATTTTCCCCCTTTTCATTTCATGTGGCAGGGATCAATGTAACGACACGTAACCAGAGTAAGAGAGAAAAGGCAGGTGGACACAAGACTATTTTGTTTTCTTTCACTGTTAAGGTGCATGTTAATGCCACCTGTCCAAGACTGCATGCCAACCTTATTCAGAACTTCAAGTTACTTGAAGAAAAACCTCAAGTATAAGGACTAAGTGTTACTGGTAAATGAGAAACTCAAGGTTGTGGCAGCAGTGCTCTTTAAAAATAGAGAAGAATAAGTATAAAGTTAAAACAGAGTTCTAAAAACATGAAAAGAGAAGGAACAAATGACAGGACAGAAAACAGGCTGCAGGATAAAAAAAAAGTTTCAGGAAAAAAAGGCAAAAGCTAAAAGATGATTGGATCAACATAAGAGGTTTGAGGATGAGGGAAGAGAATGAAGTAAAAAAAAAAGTGAGCAAAATCTAAGAGGAGAGGAAGGAGCTGAACTATTATGGGAACTATTATGGACAGAGACATGAAGTAACGGGGACAAAAGCAGAACAAAAATCACTTTAAATGGATTAACTTTTGAACTTTACAAGAAAGTCTGAAAGCTAGACTACTATATAATAAAAAAAAAAATTGCAGCTAAAATTTCAGAGTATTAATTATGGAGGATTATGAATGCCTGGAAGGAGGGAAACAGCTTCTGCTCTCAGCTACATCAAAAAAAATCCAGGGTAACTGAAAGTGCAATAATGTATAACAGAGAGAATTCTTACTATCCTGTTGCATGTTGCTGCATTTTTATTTCTGCAATAAAACTGAAATTGTGGGACCCAAGAAATTAGCTTACAAGAGGTTTGATACTAATAATAACGAATCAATGAATTTTCACTGTTTCTGTCATCACATGTAAATAACATTTATGCCACTGCCTCCCAAAAAAACAGTAACAAGCAAGAAATTTTCCTATATAACCAGTAAAATTCAAGCTTGTAGCTATTGTCTCTCTTCCAAGTGCTACACTTCTCTGTTGCTGGCTGCAGATGCAACAATTATAGGAAAGTGCCAATGGATAAGCAGAGGGAAAGTGATTAAGTTCCTAAAAACTGGCAGTTGCTCTCTGTGCAGGTTATCGTAAGTACAGAGAACGTGACCAAAAACTGCATGTAAAAGTGCTGCTGCTATCACCTGTCACTTTTATGCCTTCCCCTCACGGCAATCTAACTGCCTAGCTGCACGTTTATACAGTACATAATGCCACTTAGAAAGAGTGGCAAAGTAAATTAAAAAAAGGAAAGTTAATCAGACTGACCTTTAAACCTCTTGAATCTGCTCTACTTAGTACTAATGTATTAAAAGAGAGTTGCATCATTTCTTGGAGGTTACTAATGCTGGCATATCATCAACATTTAAACAACTAACATGAAGCAAACAAATTAAAAAATTTGCTGTTCAACCAAATTTCCCATTAATTACCAAATACTTACAATCATCAGGCAAAACTTCTTTGAACTGCTCAAAATACGAATTCAATCGCACTAAGCTTTCCATGTTAATTACTTCTTGCAGTGAGGTGTCTCCAAACCTTTAAAAGGTGAAGAAAGGAACAGTTAAGCCCAAGGTAGAAGGGCTTATGACTACCAGAAAACAGTTTAAAGATTTATCCCATGAAATTCCTAACCGTTCAAAACGCAGAGTAAAGCGTAAGAGAGAAGTGTTGTAGTGATTCATTACAGAAAAAGAAAATATATGACCGTGAGGGGAAAAGCAGGAAGGAAGGTAAAAGAAAAATCTTGTAGAAAATAGTACTTAAAATTCTTTGGCTTTTGTGTCTCTCTTTCAATATTAAGTACCCATCTGGTAAATCATTTTGCCAAAATTCAAACTTTTAATAATGGATTTACTAGTTTAGTTCATAAGCTAATAATAACCATAAAATCAGTACATAGGATTGAGAACTTTGACTTCCGATATGTAAATGAGAAATATGGATCTAGAAGTAATAAATCATGAATGTAATAAATACTGTCAACAATGCCATCATTCATCTCATCTAACTATACCTACATACATATATATATGCACACACAGTGTTGACATCTGTAACTATGCTAGTCACCTTGGGCTCCCTTTATAGGCAACAGAGGACAACAGTAACTGCTGGAATGCCTTTGTTAGACTTTTTCTAGTTGTCCACCATCATACTGCACACTCCACCTGGGTACCAAGGCTGCTGTCACAACACGCATGTGCCTGACTTCACTGGAGTTCTCCATTACAGCAGTGCTCTGTCAATGTATTCTTTACAAGCTATGGACATAACAGAGGGAAGCTCTGGTGGCTCTTCCAAAACGGAACAGTTTCCCTAGCAAATATAATTACACAATTATGTTTTTCAGCTTTACAAGAACAGTGTTGCATTACATAAGTACTGCAATGATATGTTAAAACAAAGGTCCATCTAGCCCATTATCCTGGTTTTTGATGGTGGCCAGAGGAGGGAGTCTAGGGGAGAGTGCAAAACCAAGAAGGCAAATACATCAGAATGATCTCTCAGCCTCTAGTTATCTGTCACTCACAGAAGCTGCAAGTCACAAGCAGCACCTCTGTGTTAAATAGATTTCCTCTTCTGTAAATTCACTTCTGAACCACACAAACCTGCACTAGACTCAAAGCCATGAGGCAAGGAGCTCCACAGCTATGTGCCACATGAAGAAGGACCTCCCTTTGTTTGTTTTGCATGTGACAGCTTCATTTAATATTCCCCTGTTCGTGTATTGGAGAAACTGAATCACCGTTAGTAATGCAACAGTGCAACTCCATAGAGACATACTTCCATCAGAACAGGAGATTGCTGAACTCCCATTAAGGTTGAGCTTGCATGACTGAATACATACTTCTCTGCTAGGGTTTGCTGCTCATTGATTCCCACATTGAAAAGAACAGGCTGAACCCTCAGTAACATGCCACTTTGAATCTCTCGCGGCAACAAATCAAACAAGGCGCTTGGCAAAGGGATCCTCACATTAAATCCATCACTGCAAATAAATAAACAGCTATTAGACATAAAGATCAAAAAGCTACATTCCAAGAATGTGTTATTTATGTAAAGAGGGACAACATCTAGAACATAATACTATTAAAAAATAGTATCAGTCAAAACTGAGGACTTTAGGAACTACCACAGCTTCCTCCTAATCAGAAAAGCTATTCTAGTTCAAAAACAAACCTGCAGCAACCTATAATATTGATTTTACATCCTCATAGACATTTCAATCAGATCTGCCAATTTCCTGACAAGCTGATTTTGCTCTGCTCATTAATACTGCAGCTTTTGCACAACTTGGGTAGAAAAAGCAAATTTGGGCATGTCCTCCTCTCATCAAGAGTAAAGTATATTTGATTTTAAAGTGGTAAAGGCTAGTGATGATGCACATGCATAAAAGGACACATTTTTGGATACAGTAAGTAGTACTGACATTTCTGAGCAGAAGGATAAAGGCAATGATAGTAGCGACCCAAGCATAAATTGAAGGGGGAGCTAACAAAAGAACTGATACAGAACTTATGACTCAGACCTACAAGCTGTTCCTGCAGCACAACAGGTTACCTTGGGTCAGCTGAGCTACAGCAAAGAGCACTGTGTATGCTTTATATCATGGGAAATGTGAGTTAACGCAACTTATCTTATCCCGTAACATCAGTGCAGACTAAGGTATGTCGTATTACCCCATGTTGGAACTGCCAAGACACAAGTTACTGTGGTTTGTGTGCTGTGTGTTAACCTATCAGCAGCAATACCTTGGTGTTACATCCAAGCCTTTACAGTGCACAAGTCTCAAGTACAGCACATACTCTCAAGTATAGCAAAAGAGCTCTGAGAAGTATATAATAAAGTAATCAAAATTGTTCTGTCCCATATTTACATTGGATGGACACACAAATCCTATGCTATGCCTGAAAGCAAAAAACCTATTTTCACCTCTAAATGTAAAGCTTCCAATAATTTGCACCAAAATAAAACCGCATGATTTCTTTCTTCTCTTTTTTCAGTAAAATCTACACAACAAAATAATAAGCAACACTATCAGAGCTGAAACTAATGAAGACTGGTTTCCGGCTGATTAGTGTCCTATAGCTGATGGCAAGTTTCAACTAAAGATTTTCTTTGAAAGGAATTTTCTGTCAGTTGTCAGCCATTTCCACAGGTCTTAGCAATTTCCATAACATACATGATTGTACTGCAGACCTCCTTCAGCCAGGGCACTTTTCATTGCATGTGAACCTTAACTTAACAAAGGTCCTCTAAATGTTTTTATCTTTGAGAATTCTAGCTCTTTTTCAGATGTGGAGGAGGCTGGGCAAAGCTCCAGTCGAGCTTGGTACAGCAGACTGTAACTGAGTAAGCCTTATTTCCTCCAGAAATCAGATTTGAAACTAAAAGATTCTAAAGACTCTGAAATACAGAAACATTAAAACATCGACTTTCGTGAGGCCTCTGTCCTTCCATTCCAGCTTCATCCCCATTTGTGAACGGGCTCCCTCAGGGCAAGAACTCTATTGCAGAGGCCCATCAGCCCCATGTCAGAAACCAGTGCAAGGCCAGCTGATAAGCAGGCTGAGGCATGCAAACTGAAGTGTGACTCTGTTGTAAACACTTCCCATCATAATAAAGCTGTAACAGATCACTCCCACTCCACTTTACGTGAGGATGTGAATGTTTGTTACTTCAGACTTTTAAAACAAAAATTGCTTTTAAGCTCAAACTTAAAAATATCTCTTTTCAGACAAGTGGCCAAAATGAGCAGCAGTCTGGTGTTTCACAAACATCTGTAAGTTAAAGCCAGCTTGGCCCTGATAGTTTGGAAATTGAGCCTAAATACGCCTCACCTCAGCAGCAGCCCATCAACTGCCTGATACACGTTCCGTGTCCTGTTGTGCTAACGGTGGCACACAGTAAAGCACTGACCAGCTGATCACCAGCAATGAATTTCAGACAATGAGATCAGCCTCAAAATTCAGTCTGAAATTTAAAAACAGCACAAGTGCTTAAGAAAAGATTGAATACTTCTGGCTTATGATTGTGGAAAGCTAGGTCAAGATGATATTTATTCATAAAACAATACTGACATGGTTTGAGCTTTGCCATATATCCCTTTTCAGCTTAGCTCCCTGTAAAATGAAACATCAGTAAAAATGAGTAAGTCCACTTCAAAACATTTCTTTGAAATTCTGAGGAGAAAAAAAGCACAGTACAAAAGCGCATAATTAATTTCAAGTGCAGTATCACTGCTTCTCCCATCTGCAGTCCCACCCCACTTCCTGCCCCCCTCCCCCATTTTTTTTTACCGATTTCCAGTGATGACCGGCAGCATGTCAGTAGATGTATTTGATGTGGCCTGAGTTACTTTAAAGGTTACATTCCTCAAGTCCATGATTCCTAAACTCATGTCCTCCAGCATTGCCAGCTCCTCACCTAAATCAAGAAGGAAAAAGTGAATCATAATCATTACTTGTTACGTACAACTTCCCTTTATCAATTTGATGACGACTGTAGGTCATCGCTCTCATAAAGAAGTCCCATGGACGAAGAGGCTCTGGAACCCAGACCTTCACCTTGACCTACAGACTGCAGACAATGTCATGATTGACTTTATGAGTTCAGCAAGTTTAGAAAACACCAATTATTTGGCACAGTCCAGACTGCTGTTCTTCAAGTAGATTATACGCTGGTTTTCAAATTTAGGCAATGCTAGTAAGTACTTCTCAGCATTGTCACAGCCATGATATCCTTTGCGTTGGAACAATGCATTGAAAAAGTTACAATGTATTCTGGATTTGCTCACTTTGTACTGTAGGATTACGGGAGGTCAAGAAAATTAAAATTAAAAAAGCATATTTTGGGCCCAGTTTCTCCCAGAATTTTAATCTATTTCTTTTCTGAAAAAATGATCAATATGGTACTTTTTTTTTAAACCTTTGACATTATATTATAAGGCAAGTACACTTTATCTTTTAGAAGTAATTCAACTAAATGCGAAGAAATTCAGACTTGTTATCTAATCAAGTACTCCAGCTATAATCTGATTTTGCATTTCAGTTTTCAAAATCATTTTGTAGCTGAGTTGCAGATTGTCCCAAACACTCATGTTCTGCTGCAGCGAATTTAATGCAGAATTTGCTGACTCAACAGCTAATACCACCCACTTGCCCTGTGCCTTTACCATAAGTGCTCAGCAGGCTCTCAAACTGCGCCAGCAAGCCAATGGTGTAGAGTTGTCTTAGAAATCCATCATCATGTAGGCAGTTCCTCAGCTTGATAATGAAACCACAAATGAGAGCTGTCAGCTGTGGGAGAGAAAACAGACAAGAGTGAAATGATCCAAGACAAAAAAAGCTCTTTAGTCCCAAACGGAAACAATATCACATGTAAGAGGTGCCATAAAATCTGTCAGACTGATGCTCTTTCCCCTTAAATGTCACTCTTCTTTTCCTTGCAGCTGAAGAGAGACAACCAACCAACAAAAAACCAAAATATTCATAAAATCAGATTTAGGGCACACATTTAGGGCCTTCACCTCACAAGCTCTCCCAAAATGGAACTGCTGTTGATCTCGCATCTATTTGTTTTCTGGACACAATCACTTGTATTAGGGTCTACAACTTGCAAATTACAAAAGAGTCTCCTCGGAGAATTGTTTTAGTTACAGATGGAAAAGCAACACAGCTAGTTCCAGGCCATGAATTTTGATAGTATGAATAAATGTTTTTTTTTAAAAAATGACATTTTAAGAATGCTTAAAAGTGCAATGCCTGTTTGCATTATGCAAAGTTCTAGTGTTACAAGACATTCAGGACAAGGTCCTGAAGACTTAGTAATAAGATCAGTACTAAGATCTAAGATTAGTACTAGTCTTAATTCACTCTGTCAACAAAGGAATTTCACAGGTTATTGCCATATGCTATGTACGCAGGTGTATGACTTTGTTACAGAATTAAACAAAAGGGAGTAAAGTTATGTTTACAATGGGTAAACACATTTAAAGCATTGTGTTTAAAAATTATCTGAAGTGGGTTTTGTATAGAAAAATTCCCTTAATTTATCTCCATCAGATACTACATTTTGGGACAACAGCCCTACCAAACAGTGTCCAAGAGATAAGCTGTTTGGAATAAATGAACGAGATTTCACGGGGAAGTAGACACACTACAGAAGTGTAGTGGGCAGAAGAAATGTCTTTTAGTGCAGACACCTGCTAGTCAGTGGCTGACACAAGAGACCCCAGCAGGCCCAGAAACAGAACTTCTAGGGGAAAAAAACCAGCACTCATTTCTCTCCCTGTAGCTGGACTTCTCTCCTTAGGTACTGCAGGTCCTATTGGTTTTCTTGATGCAGAAAACAATAAAAGGTAACCGAGGGAGTACACTTTCTGCTCATGGGCTTTCTGCCCCGCCCCCAACAGCTTACTTCTGGTTTTAGTTTGGTGGCATTGGAAGGCAAAGGTTATTTCTGTAGACAGCAGTATATTTTCACGAGTCTGGATTTTTTTTTTTTAATAGTGAATGTATATGGCAGGGGGCACTTAAGTTATATATTGTCAAATGCATATAAGTGACCAGTAAGGACAGGATAGCACAGTCTGTGAGAGGAGATCACAGTGTTAAACCTGAGAGTAGAATAGATCTGAAAAATTCTGAAAACAGTCATATTTCATATAAACCCCACCACAGGTCGAAGTGCAATCAAATCATGCATATTTGCTTGCTTACAGTTTGGCAGAAGACAACATCCCTGCGATACTGAAGGCTCAGGCAGAGCCCTATTGTCGGGGCACTGTCCTGCATTAATAAAAAGACCATGGCTTTCTTTGCCTTGTCACTCATCATGGCTACGCAGTCTGTGAGTGTTGTCAGCAAGGGATAAAGAGCTTCGCTCCATTCGCCTGGTTAAAAAAAAAAAATTAGCAGCACTGTAAGTACTTTATTTGAAACCAACAAACATGCATTAAGAAGAAACTTCCTGTTGCAAGTCAAAGTTGTTGATAATTCACATTTAGGGCTTGTTTTATATTGGCTAGCTGGTTACTCCCTGCTTGTAATTAATTAAGTAATCTTACAGAGTGGTTATCGCATGAGGAAAACATGGAGAGTTTTACTCTGTAAGGCTGTTACGACTTTCCTGACCATGTAATAGCTCCCAGATTTGTGCCCACAGAACAGGCTAAACAATAGCTCATTTGGAAAGCATAACAGAAAGATGAATATCTATACACACAAGTGTATATAACTGTGTGTGCATGTTCAAACACACCCTTTCACAGTGCATACATGGACAGACTCTATGGAGTCCATTGTGTAACAGAAATAGTGAACATCTGCTTAGCCATTTCTGTCAATGAGATTTCTCCCAAATATCTTGCCTTTGAATGGACCCGTAGGTATATCATTCAACTGCCTCACCATCTTATTGATCCTTGTTGCACTTCAGTGAGGTAAGACGATGCTTATCTCCCATTTGCAGCATAGGAATAAGGCAGAGAGGTGAAAAATTCATGTAGGTACTCTTTTAAGTGTCCTCTGTCTGCTGAGTGGCTTTGAAGGCTTAGAGCTAGCTAATGAGAAACACGAAATATAGTGATTTAGATGGGAGTTAGCCAAATCCTTGGAAGTAGTTCGGAGCTTTACTTCCACTGAAATACACGAGATATGTCCCAGAGGGACTCTGTTCAAGGTCCTACAGAGGAAGCACAGAAATGAAACTGGGTTGCCAAAGTCCTATTTTAGTACCCCAAACATTGTGCCATTCCTTCTCCCTAAGAGACTGCTCTGCCTTAAGATGCCCCATAAGCTCAGTTTCTTTTCTTTCCTTCTTTCATCTTTTGTCTTAATCAACCACCAATTTAAAAAACCCATTTCCATGACTGTATGAAAAATTACTCAGATGCTATACCAGAATCCACTCTCTCTGTGATATAAAAAGACAACAGAACAGTGCTTTGGTTTTGCTCTCCTTAACATAAGGTTGAATCACTTCTCTTTTTAAAGGGAAGAACAATGTGTTTTATTTTTAAAAAGCACCAGAGCTCACAAACAGAACACACACAACCCCCAGCCCAGTTGGCTGTAGGAACAAGGCAACGTACAGATCAGAACCTGCATGAATGGGGCACTTCAAGCCCCTGAAAGGAAGTTGTTTGGGATTTTGACTCAAAAGCAGGACTAAGAGCTAGTAATAAACGTTTCTTTGATAACCAGCCAAAGAGGGGAACTTTGGAAGTCTGCTAACAGAAACATAACTGACAAGATTAACAGAACTACCTTTTTTGCTTTTGTTCTACGCGGTAGATAGATAACCTAATAAACTACACAAAAGGGAAGTTGTCTGGCTCTGTTCCATTGCCATAAAAAAAAGCAGGAAACATCAAAAGAACAGGCAAGGAATTACAGCTTGTCTTTTATATTCTGTTAAGTATTTTTCTCTCAAAATAAATCAGATGCCATAACATGGCCCCACGAACACTTAAAAAGCAAAACACAGATGATACTAACAGTGTTTCTCTTACTGTATTTAAGAGCTTTTCTATAAACAAATGAGAATGACAAAAAGAACTGAAAAGATCTTCCAGCACATCATCCTCATCTCATTGCCTGGATATACATGCATGTACATAGTTATTAACTCAGTGGAGATTTAAAATTCTAGTGTGTCTGGCAGTACCTCATTTAAAAGATATGTTTATCTAGGGTAATCACCAAGTACACTGGTGGTATACCAGCTTGCCTGAAGATAAAGCAATTGTTAGATGTTTTTTTTTCTCCCAACGCTACCACGCAAAGCAGTGGATCATCTGGGCCAATGAGCAAAAAACCTCTGTGCTGTGTATTCTCTTGGTTTAAAATTTTGGCCATGAAAAAACAAATCCTTGTCAGTCTGCAAAATTCTAAATGCTTTTTGCTACCTACTTCACAGAGGTGTCACCTGTGTTCTTTTAATTTTTTAGTCAATGGTAGTTGCTATTAACAGTAAACAGGAATAAAAGGAATTGCATTCCCAGGCTCAAATCAGATTTGAACATTTCACTGGCAGCGTTTAAATAAATATGAAAGGACTCTTAACTGTTCAATTTTTGCCTGGATTTTCCAGTCCTTCTGTCTTCCCCTCATTAATTTTCCTAACAGAACTTTATTACTGAAAGTGTATTTTCTATCAAATCAATCAATGGCACCTTCAAATACCATGAGGCACTAATTCTAATGTGGAATCTACTCTGAGCTCTGCTCTTATGTTCTATGAAATGACAAGAATTTTTTAAAACTATCATAGACTCCCCTGGGCAGATCCATAAGTAGGATGATTTGGTGTAGGGTCTGAAACAATGGAGATGCAACAAGTTATTACAGATTTACAACAGCTGGAGACCTAGTCCAAGCTAGCTGTTGGTATGTCTGGGACACAAATCCTGCTTTTTAATCAGAGGTTTCTAGTTCATGTTAAAAGTTATTCCATTTAAAAACTGGCATTGTACAAACCAGCAGGATGCCTGCCATTTGCTTTAGGTGCTTTATGTTGTACAGCAAGAGACAAATCCTGCAGTCTCCACTCAGACAGCTACAACTGAATTCTGGCTCGTAAATAAGGGCCAGACTTGGCCCCGGGAGTCTTTGCTATTTTTCTTATGACTGCTGCGGACCAAAGTCATACCTTAATGTACACTTTGAAATGTGGCATTTTGAAAAGGGGGGGCAGGGGGGGCAGAGAGAGAGGGAGGGAAGGATGCTGGGAAGGCCTAAGAGTTCACATAGTGGACACTCTCTGACTACACACTACTGACTATTTTATAAAAAAATAATGTCTTGTTAAGAGAACCTAATACATAAAGCCTGTGTAAATCAAGGATGTAATGTCAGGTGGGAAAAGTTTTTGCTTTTTTCCCCCTGAGAGTCTCCCTTCTCCAGAGCAATAAAAATATTATTAAAATAACTGTCCTCCAGAGCCTTGAAAAGATATTTTTAGTCTTTTCATATTAAAAACCCCCTAGCATCCATAAATCAAAGTACTGGGCACCTGTAGTTGCCCTTGGTTTAGGTCAGGGTTGCAAGGACTCATCACCTCTAAAAAAGAGAATTATTAAATAAGTGGTAGTTGCTTAGCCCTGATCCAGTAAAGTAAAATGGGCAACCCACTTAAGCACACAGTCGCATCACATTTGGCTTCAGAGCCCATGCTGTAACAGTTCAAAGACTGAACCTTCACTGAACTCAGATTAAACTACTCTCAAATGGGAGAAATTACAGCCACCTAGCTGGGAGAGAGTGGTATTACAGAGGCATAGTATTCAGACCTTGTAAATGCAACACAAGTGTGCGGAAGTACAAGGAGAGAGGAAAGAGGGCTAAAGGTGGAATGAAAGTCTCCTAAATTCTGTATTCTGAAACATTAGATTTGCAGTTCCCAACACTGCTTGGTGTGTATCCAAACAGAGATTTTCCATCAGCCTCGTTGACTGCTCCGTGTTCTGCTCAAGTTCTCATGCAGAAAGACCAGCTCCACAGCACATATGAAAGGGCATGTCTGAAATGTCTGAAGGGTCAGACTCCCACAGACTTCAATGACATTTGGAACAGGCCTCAAACCGTTCTCACCCACAACAGTTTGCTAAAACACATCAACTGGAGAAACCAAAGAGACCATGAACAAGTGCTCTCCCATACCTGGACATGAGAAGTTACCAGATACCCCCTTGCAATTTAGGAAAATAGTAACTTCTCAATATGCTTAGGTAAGTCATGTGATATTGAAGAACATTACCATTTGAAAATGGTCAACCTTAACAGCAAGGCACTTGTTCAGTTGTTAATTATGAACCAAACCCTGCAATTTTCAGAGGAAGCAGAAGCCATGAATGCACATACCTGGGCCAGATTCTTCCGGAGCGGGGCTGCAATCTGCACAGAAATGGAGGGGCAACATGCATGATTAAGGAGCAGCAACACAGTCTAAACATAAGCAACTCAAATGCTCAATGCCAGGGTTCTCAAACACTTTCACCAAGGGAAGAGGAGCTCAGCAGAGATAGTCCTTTGCCTGCGGGCACCGAGGGCATGGGCTGTCTCCGCCACTCCACTGTTTCTGATCAGAGAAACACCTGGATGAGGACTCGGAGGAAAGCCAGTACCCGCTAGCTCAGGGGCTCTCTGTGGATTACCGGCAAGTGCACTGTCAATCCCCAATGATCCACAGGGCACGATTTGAGAACCACTGGTTTAGTGCAATTATAGAATAAGCTGGCAGTAAGGCTGCTAAACAGAATAGCAAAAGACTAGCAGTAAGTTCAATGCACTTAACAGAAAATGACGTTAACGCACCCACAACGCAAGAGTAATAAAGAAACAGTACTTTGCTATCTTAGACAAATTCCTGTTATACAATTTCTGAGATAGTTAATACAAGCATTAGATTGTATGTTAAGGGCTGAAACCTCACCAGTGAAGCCTGTGAGTGTTCCACGCTCACTTCAAGCTGTCAAATGAAAATGCACTACAGTGCAATGCAAACAGTAAAAAGATAATATACACCCTGTTATAGCAACTCTCACAGTAATGAAAAGTAGTTTATTAATCTAACAGGATTTAAACTTCTGTTGTTTATATCTAGACTCACTAGTCAATGAATTACAAATTTGAAAATAACAACAGAAAGTATCAAATTGAATTGTATGCATTAAGACAATCAGCTGAGCTAAACAATCCAAGATAAAAACCTCTCAGTAAATAAAACTCATCGTGTTCATTAAAGAAGCTATCTGCCCCCATACAATTTTAGTAATGAATACCTAAGCCTATAACAAAAATAAATTTTAAAATAATTTCTTAAGTCTCCCTTCTACTATTTCAGGCAGTATTTTCTTTCACAATCATTAATTTACAGAGAGATCCTCTAAAGTCCTTCAATAACAGCCTACTGTCTCTCTCTTTTCAATTCTGGAACTATCTGGGTTTGCTGGTTTCTACATTGCTTTCAGAAAAATTTCTGGCGGCTGTCTGCTCAGTGTCATTTATTCAAAACTCAGAATTACTAACAGAAAAAGTGTTAGTTCTTTGAATACATGACAACAAAAAACTTTAAAATGTTGTGATTCTGAACTTAGAGACAGGATCTTCTTTGTCCCTCAATTATTCCCATGATCAGTTGTGAAAAGTGACAGTGAAAGGGAATTAACGGGCCAGGTTTGGTGTGGAGTCAAGGAAAGTAACTCAATGGGAAAATTCCCATTGATTTCAGTATGACCAGTTTTTTTCATAGTATTGAACCTGTTCCTCTGTCAAAAATACTGACCATTAATTAGGAACTACAGCCAATGAGAATGTGATCAAGTGCTCAGCTTGCCCTGGCTTACAATAAACTTCCCAAGTGCAATTCAAATTGCTCATTAAGACCTACGAACAATGTCTGCACCAGATACCTAAGAAACAGGATTCCCTCTCCAGAATTTTTTAAGTTAAATTCACCCAACATTGGTTGACAGTCAGACTTCAAATCTAGTCCTTACACTTAGGTAGCACTGGGAAACGGCAGCAAGCCCCTTAGCTTTAAAGCTTGCTTCTTGATTCAATGTTTCTGTCCCAGGTTTTGTGGATTAAATGGAATATTTTTTCCCTATTTTGGAGGCACAGCAGGGAAAGGTTACAGAAACTCTTGGCACAAACAAAACTTTTGGTAGGTAAGTGCAGCTAGTTCCACTTTTATATGGCATAAGTGTCAAGATCCAGAGTAAATGTAAAAGATCGACTGAAAAATGAAAGAAAATGATTGTTCTAAGATGCTTTCAGCATCAAATTGTTTTGGGAAAAGTTTCTGATATCACCCACCACAGATTTTTTCCTATTCTGTATAATATTAAAAATCCACAACTTTTAATCATTGATATGAAGGTGCATTGCAGTTTACTGATAAAACTTTCATGTAAATACATATAAAACTTCATGTAAACTAGCTAGCAAATAAAAACATTTAAAGGTATCAAACTGGTAGAAGAAATTTAATCAAAGATTAATAGAGAACACATTCTGAAGCAAGAACCAACTCTTCTATTCCCTTATAATACAAAAGAAGTCACTCTAATCTAGAAAAACATGGTCATTTAAGATACTAAGCAAATTATATGTAACATGTACAAAGCTATACAAAAACATATTAACATTCATTTTAACTTCCTTCTCGCTTTCTTTTTCTTAAGGTACTGCTTTCCACTACAACATTAACAATGGGATGGCCATGAAGTCACAGACACATGTAAGGGACAAAGGGCCATCAAACGATAAGACAGAACAGGAAAAAGAAATGAAAACACAAATCAATCTTTCTAGAGCTTAACTTGGCACACCTGCTCTATTAAGTGGCCAAATCATAGTGACTACATGTAAAGAATTTGAGAATAAGTCAAATAAGTAATATGTAAATGAAGTAATTCTGATATTTAATGCACAGCTGCAAAACTGTCAACCTAAACTGATAAGGATATCTTTCATTCACATGCTCATGCCGTTATGATGGATTCAATCCTGCACCCACCTCACCTCAAATTTTGATAGGATTATTCCACTGACAGCTTGCACTGCCAGTTCCTACCTTCCAGCTACAAGAAGTCTAACTAATTGAGTGCTTCAGCACCACAGCTTTTGACAATTTGGGTTAAAATTTGCTTTAAACTCCAGTAGGTTCATCCAAGTTCAGCTCAGTCTAATGGGACTGCTTGGCTCCCCTTCTATGCTTTGGCAGCCCAGCTGGGACCACTAGTGTTGCAGTACTGCCTGCACTTCTCTCATGTTTTATTTATCTTTTATAGAGTTCACTGTAATAAGCTTTGATTGCTGCAAAGAAGCTGAAGCCAACAGGAAAGCTACCAGTGGTGGTGTTTGACATATGCTAACCCAAACACCTGTTTTACCAGCTTAAAACACCCAGCGTGAAAACCAAATGCCACTGTCATCAATGGATTTGGCAATGATTTCAGTGGGATCAGGATTTCAAAGTAAGTATTGGGCTTAGCAGCTCCCAGTACACCACCAGCCCCTTCCGCCCGACATCGGCGCTTAACATCACCACTGAACTAAAAACACATGGAAGGATGTAACAGAGGCTTAGGAATGATGCCAGCGCACAGCAAGAGAGCAGCAGTGAGAAGCAGTGTCTGGCATACGCACTTGTCTTTCTGAGAGAATGGCATGCACAGGATGGTGTGGATGAAGGTGGTGATGAGGATGATGAAGGTGGTGAGGTCTCATTTAAATCTTCTGGATTTATCCAGTAGGCACGAGTGTCCCGATTACCTTTCTTACTAGTACAGCTGATGTCGCACTGGAAAACATCTTCACAGCTGTCACTTTGCAAGCGCTCCTTCTGGAGAAGTTTGTCCACTCTCTGTATAATACACTCCAGACTTTTGTCGACATTCAACCAAACTTTCTCCTTAAAAGAAAACATTTCTTTCTCAATTTAGAAAGAAAAGAGACATTGGGTAACAAATCCCTTGGCAATATATTTCCTCCTGTGATTCTAGTCACAATTCCTCTACAAAGTTTCCTCTGGGTTATCATGTTTACATTTGTGCACACACAAACTCTGGATATATAAATAATGTATGCCAGCATGTCAACAATATGTAGCGACATGACTTGTGTGGTAAATTGCACAGCTATTTTCTAAGTAAATTGGCTGAACAATTTTAAGTGCCTCTTCCTGCACTATTATTCCAATTTCCAGTTGGCACTATTGTTTATTCTTGAAACTCAATGTTTGACATAATAATTGTATACGATCACGCATGTTTTTTTCCTATATAACTCAGTGAATAACAGATAAAATTATTGTACTGTATTACTATATAAATAACTGAATTAACTTTATTCGTATCTCATTACTGTGAGTTTGACTGTAAGTCAAAGTATGCCAAAACAATTAAAACTAGCAAGGATCCATTTCCAAAATTAATTGGATCTCATTTCTAAATTGATATTTCACAATATTAACAATGGTTTTAATTAATCGTGACTATTTTTGAGATTTAATTCACTTCTGTTTATATTACACAATGACAGAATTTACACAGCCCAATTCCCATTTCAATTGGCAGTGTGGTAAGGAAAACCATGTAAATTCTTTGTGCAAACAGTTTTAAAATGCTGTTCATAATCAAAACAGAGATGGACTGCAAGTTCTAAATATTTAGATGAGAATAAAAGCCAGGAAGGCTGAATTGTATAGCTAACACACACAAAATACGCTTTATCTTGAAGAAGAGGCCTTTGTAGTATTGTCAGTTTTTTTACTTTAAAAGCTATTTACTTTTTCTTGGAACCAACTTCAGAAAAGCCATGCACCTACTGTAACAATCTCCACCGTTTAGGAGACCCAGAAATATATATTAAGGCCTGTTTGTATCCCCATGCCAAGGAGTAACTGAGCATAGGATGGAGGGAACCTTTTTGCTAGTTGACCAATACCTCCAAAATAGTCACCCTATGCATATCTGGTGAGCAGTTACAGAGCTTATAAACAAAAGAACACAGCAAACAAAAAACTAAAAAGAAGAAAATATTCATCACTCCACTAAGCAAACGTACCCATTCCTCTTCATGCCAATCCACCTGCAGAGAAGATCTGCTATTTCTTCCTGTCCATCTGGCTACAAGTGTATCTTGATCATTCCTCAGCATCACTTGCTCCCCTTCTCCAGAGGTTGGAGATGCTTTCGAAGCTATATAGTCTGGCCTTGCAGCATTCAGTCCATGTATTGAATTTGCCAACAGCTTGCAGTCACAGACTGTGACAAGTTGCCGGGTCTAAAAAGCAATAATCCCCCCATTTTAAAAACTTTTTCGTTATTCTGTACACGATTTATACTATATTCTTTCACAGAAAGAAAAAAAGAAGACCTAGTATTCTGTAAAAGAAACTAACCGTTGTTTAGGAGTCTCTTAGGTGCCTTTAAAATCATTTTACAGAATGGCCTTAAAAAGCAATATAGGATATAAACCACAAATGGTACATTTCCAAAGTCTGTACTACTGTATTAACCTTGCAATTGTTGAAAATTTCACTAATAAATGTGCAATTCACCTTTATTTGCACTTCACTTTCCATTTGATGAAACCTTAGAACAACATGCAGACATTTTTATACCCGACACAATAGTTGCCACACCAGAGAGACCATGCTTAACCTCCACCATCCTGTCTGAAATCATAACAAGACTTAAAAGGAGGGCTGAAGATATAACCCTCTAAGCAGTGCAACTTGTTCCCTGTCTTATTTAGTGGTCTTGTATTAAAGGATTTCTATAAGTTATGTGACTATGAAAAGTATCTGGCCCACGTGTCTATTAAAAAAAAAAAAACAAACAAGCCCTTGCTACGTTATATATACACGTTGTCCAGCTATAGAAAATCCCACAGATCAGTTATACATACCGTACTCATTTAGAGTTAATATTATAATAAATAATACATTTCATAGAATCATAGAATCATTTAAATTGGAAAAGACCGTTAAGATCATAGAGTTCAAAAATTAACCTACACTGCCAAGCCCACCACTAAACCATGTCCGTAAGTGCCACATGTACACGTCTTTTTAAACACCTCCAGGGATGGTGATTCAACCACTTC